AGACCCCTGCACTTAGGTTGAACTGGTGGTGGGGTTTCTTTAGCACAGAAAGTCAGGAAGTTGCCTTGCCGAGTTCCCACACTCAAATCGCCTGTCCCTTTGTGAGGGCCATTGCCCTGGGCTCTCTCTGACGCTATCCCTGGCAGGTCCCAGAGGCAATGGTATACAAATGCTGTATTGGTAACTGTGAAGTTCTAGGAAAAGGTGAAGCCTACATACCAAGTGCTATAGAATTCCGTTCATTTAGGACCTTCCTGGAGGAGGAATGTTGGCTGGGTCTAGAGGAGAGGCAGTTCCTTCCCACTTGATTGTGTTGTTGGCTGAATAATATAGAATGTGGCCGACGTTGTATGAGAAGCCAAGGTAGCCTCTATTGTGAAGGAGAGGTGGGAGAGCCACTTCTTTTCCCCAGCTGGGAAACCTCATACCTCATCCTGAATTTCCTGACTTGGGAGGGGGGAAGGTGTTGAACCTCACTGAGACTACCGTGATCAGTGCCCATTTTCCCCTTACAAACCTCTTTTAGCTTTTGTTTTAATGCCCTTGGTCTCTAGTGGCCCCACTGAGGCCTCCACTTCTGTGAAAAGCCTGGGCGGGGTTTCCATGAGTGAGAGGCAGACCATGCTGCTTGAGAGTTTGGGCGGGAGCAGGAGAGGGAATTTGTGGAGGCGATAGCCGTTTTTTTTGTGGGGGGGAGCGGGGAGCTGATCAGGACCTACCTGGGGAAATAAAGGCAAGGAGTGAGAGGCAGGGGCGATGGTTTAGCTAGAATGTGCTGATACCCCCAGCTGCTTCCCCTGATGGGCTGGGGAGGTATCTCTAATCCTGAACTGGAGAGGAGCTGGCTGGACTCTACACTTCTTCTTTTTGAATCTGGCCTTTATCCTCTTCCTTCTAGCAGCCCATGGATGTCCAGCGGAATTGCCTAAAATAAGTCTGATACCCAGGGCTGATCATCGTACTGTAGGCTGGGCAGAGCTAGGCCTGTCCCAGGCTCTCAGGTGGGCTTTCTCCCCATCACCAGCCTCTCGGGACACCAGAGCTGGCACCCTCTACCATGGATCCTAGCACCCTCTGGGAGCTTTGATATAGCATGTCTCTGAGCTACAGCAGTTAGTCTGCAGACAAGCACATGTCAGCGTGGCCTTTGTGCCCATTCTTGAGCTCAGTACCTTGGAGGTTACAAAAAAGTTCAAAAATCCCCAGCATTTATTGTCACTATGTGCCAGAAACTTTATACGCTATCTCATTTATTTCTCTGATAACCCCAAGAGGTAGGTATTATTAGCTCATTATTCTTTTTTGTTTAATTTTTATTTATTTTAAATTATTTTTAAATTGAGATATAATTAACATATAACATTGTGTAAGTTTAAGGTGTGCAATGTGTTCACTTGATATATTTATATATCGCAATATAGATCATTATTCTTATTTTACAGAAAAGAAATATATGTGTATGTAATTACCTCAAATTCTGTAACTTACTAGTAAGCGGTGGAGCCAGGATTTGAAGACACTTTAGAATGCCAAAGCCTTTGCTCTGGGTCACTACACTAGCTAGGGGTCCAAGGTGAGACTAGCCTTGAAGGGAATGAAATGGAGTTTGCAGGGTGGTGACTTGTTATCATTCATTGAGCGTGAATTTTGTGCTTGACACTGTGCTAAGTATTCTACATACACTAGTTCATTCAATCTGTGTAACAACTCCGTGAGGCTAGTACTATTATCCCCACTGTACTGATGTGGAAAGTGAGGCTCAGGGAGGTTAAGTGGCTTGTCCAAAGTGACCCAGCTAGTGAGTGACAGAGCCAAGACTTGAACTCAGGTTGGCCAGAGCTCCTAACTGCTAGTCTTCACCTCCCTGCTCTAGAGGAGCCTCCACTTACTGGAAAGGCCCAAGGGCACAGGAAGAGCCCCATTGCCCTCTTGGACCAGCCCTCCCCCACCTTCCAAGGGGAGCTAGAGGCTACGGCTCCCTGGGCCTCTGACATCCGAGGCTGGGGTGGGGGTATAGGGTCTCCAGCTGTGAAGACTCAGCCTCATGGACACCAGCCCTTGGTTTGCTGGGCTCAGGGTGCCACTTGGCATCTTCTAGATGTCCGTGGGGCTGGACAGGAGCTTCCAGCAGCCCTGCCTGGACAAGGGGCTGCAGGCTTTGCACTGCAGACCTACAGAGGCACTGCTTTCCTCGCCCTCGGGCCCTGGCCTGTAGTCTACATTTCCTCATTGCCCCTCTTCACTGGCCCCTCCCTAAGTCTGGTGATCATTGGAGCCCTTGCACAACTGCCTACTTTCAGCCTGTATTCAGCCTACAGACCAAACTGAAGCCCCGTAGCTCTGAGACACACACCCCCCACCCAGGGCAGGGGAGGATTTTAAAACATCATTTTCTCAGTCATTCCTCTTTTTTGGAAATTTTCCTTTCCCCAGCTTGGAGCTAATAGACAGGTATTACCCAGGGGGTTTAAAAGGTTTAGGAATCTCCTCTGATAGGCTCCTCTTGGTGTATGTGGATTTTAAGCACTTTGGGTCTTATTCACCCCCACTCCCCATCTTTCCAAAAGCCTCCATCAAAAGGCAGCAGGATCATGACTTTGCTGCTACCGTAAATTGGAGGCTTAGGCCTATTTATTTATTTAGTTTCATTGTTTTCAAATTTTTAAATATTGTTCCTTTTTATAGATATAAAAATAATACTTTTGAAATTCAAATAAGACAAGAAGGTATTAAGTGAACACTTCTCTTCCTCGCTCCCCTAATCCCACCCACCCTCTCACAAGATCACTGGTAACCATTTGGTGCAGATTTTTCTGGTCTTTATTCTTGTGTATGTTTCCTTTTCTTAAATAAAAATGGAATCACCCTATAAATAAAGTTTATTACTCACTTTTCCCCCATGATATTGCACAGACTTCTTTTACAAGAACGTTTGTACGTTATTTGTATAATTTTAAAATTTCAATTTAAACAATAAAAAAATCACAAAGATTTTCCCCGTGTCGTTAAATATTTTTCTACAACGTCATGTTTAAGGATACTGTATGAATGAACCATAAGGTATCTTAACTAATTCCCCATTTGCGTTGTTTCCAATTTCTTACACAAAGCTGTCGTGAATATCTTTGTCCATATATTTGTGGCCACTCGTGTGGCTCTTTGTAGGGATGGAATCCTGGGAAGGGAATGGCTGGGTCAGAGGGTGTCAGAGGCACATCACGGAGTGATCGATTGCCCTCCGGAAGGCTGGCGGGGCTCTGAAAGTTCGTTGGGCTTCCCACTCAACATCTTCAACCTGTCTGAGCTTCAGTTTCCTCCTCTGTAAATTGGGAAGATGATGGTACTACCTCAGTGGGAGGGGGATAGCATGAGGATCACAGGAGAGATACATGCAAAGCGCGTGGAGCCCAGCACACACGTCGCTGCTTACGAAATGACAGCAACTATTCAGTACCACTAGGGCGGTGAGGCCGTTTGGGCTGCCCGAAGCCACTAAGGGTAGTGGGACGAGTGCAGCTGAGAACAAAGCTCACACTCCAGTTTGCCCTCCTTAGTGCAGTTAATGCCGGAGAACCAAAGGAAGCCAGGAGTCTCCAGCCCACCTCCCAGGAGATGGTGTAGCTTCAGTGGGCACACGGTGGGACCCAGGAAGAGGTGACCTCAGAGGGAAGGTCCTGCTCACTGCAGATCTCCCTCTCTTGGACAACCCTCGGAGCAGGCCCTTTGTCGCGGGGTGCGGGGGGCAGGGTGGGCAATGAATAGTTCTAGGAAGAGGGGAATAGCTACCCCCCACCCCCAGACCCCAGCAAGCTGGTGGCCACGGGAGCCAGTGCCCTGAGGAGGGCTGGTTAGTGGTCAGCAGGGTCAAGGGCACTGAGCATCTTTGGGGAAGGGACAGACGGCCCTGACAGTGGAGAACATTTTGCCGAGTCCAGCTTTGAAGGAGACTGGTCTGTTCCACCCGCACCCCCCCCAACCCCCGCCCCCCGCAACGCTCTCTCCATAGGAAAGATAACCGGAGACGGTAATTTAGTTCTACCTTTTTATTGCTACCAACCCATCTGCCTTCACCCCCCTCATATTTACACCCAAACCGCTCCCCCAAGATGGCTTCTACCAGAGTTCCTGGGACTAGGTCCATAAGTGTCCACTGAACAGGCAGTCCAAGACATGGTGGGCACTGTTTGCCCTCAGGCCAGTTGGGCCCCAGGAAAGGGCTACTCTGGGAATTCTGGGCACAGACTTGGTACTGGGGTCAAGTACCAGGATACTTGACTCTCCCTCCCCTTCTGGAGCTCAAGGTACATCAAAACCTTTAGCCTAGTAAAGGTGGGATAGTGGACTCCCCAGTATCAAGGCTTTGTGCTTTCTTTGCTTGTAAGGACCCACATGAGAGGCCAAGTCTTGCTTCTGAGGGGCCGGCCTGCCCTTGGAAGTCAGGTCGGGCCATCTGCCATTGGCCTTGGGGGAAGTGTCATTTAAGGGGCTGGGAGTGGAAGGGGAGGGCGCTTGTTGTCTGAGGTGTGGGCATTGTTTTAAGCTGGGGGAGTTGCAGCTTGGCTTGAGTTACGTGGGGAAGTATGGAATGGATGAGCAGATGTTTCATTTGGGAGCCCAATGCCCCTCCAGCCCCCTTAGTAAACCCCACTGGTGTCCTGGGCCACAGGTAACGGGACAGCAGACGTTTAATATCACAGAATGTCAGAGTTGGCCCTCAGCAACTATCCATTCTTATCCTGACCCGTCCTAGACCCAGATTGAGGAAGGCACTCGGTTCAAGTGGCACAGTGATTTAGCGGCTAAACCTGTAAGAAAATTAAGGTGAAGGAAAGTAGGAAAGATACATGTACATGTGGCTTTCTTCAGACCTTATTTAGAGAATCTGGATTCACCTGTGATCAATTAGAGTCCTTTTCAATGACCAGGTTCCCTAGGGTACTGAGATTGACCTGAACCACCGACTCGGCCCCCTTTTCAGGAGCAGCGCGACAGGGGAAGGTGGTGTGGAGGCAAGGACGGTTTGGAGGCCTTGGTGGTGAGGGGCATGGGCCTGGTGGCCCCTCAGTGCCCCCCCTGCTCCGGCCGCAGCTGGAAGGGCTGTGCTGTCAAGTAGCTGGTGGAGGGAGGCGGCCCGGCTTAGGCGGCTTGTCTTGGCTTGTCGTGCACTCCAGCCGTGCCTGTAGGGCTCGGCCGGCCTCTGCTGACCTAGGCACCCCTGGGGGAGCGGGGCCAGGCTCGGTGCCAGTCCTCCGGCCCGGGGCCACCGCGGAAGGCTGGGTCCAGCCCCGCGGCCTGGGCTGCTCAGGCCCAGCCTCGGCCCACACTGCCGCCTCAAGGTGCCCCGGCCAGGGAGAGGCCGTGTAGCTGCTCCTCGGCACCTGCCAGCTCTGCTTCGTCGCGCCCGCTCTCTGAGCCCTCGAAGCAGCCCGAGTCACGTGGGATGTCCACCTTGGGCTCCGCCACCGTGTGCGCCACTGGCTCCTGGCCGCTCTCGGCGCCCTCTTCCGCCTCCTCGCTGCCGGCTGCCAGGGGCCAGGGAGGGAGAGGAATGTGGGGGGCTTGGCCCTTAGCTGGGAGAGGCTTCAGAAACCCTGGGGGCCCCATGTGGGTGGAGGGACCCTGGGAAGCCCACTGGAGGCCGTCTCTTCTTCTGGTCGCCCACCACCAAGCACCCCTGCCCTTTCTCGGCCCTTCTGCTGGGAGTGGTTTCCAGGCCAGCTCTCCCGCCCAGGAGCTCAAACTTCTTTAGCACTGAGCTAGTAGCCAGGACACCTGCTCTTGAATCGTGGCTCTGTCGTTACCCAACGTGGAGGCCTCGAGTCCATGCCGTATCTTCTCCGGCCCTAAGTCTCCCGTTTGATCCCAAAGGGAGTTGAGCCCGATCGTTCCTAAAACCCCTTCTCATCACAAGCTCTGCTGGAGACTGGAATTCAAGTGTGGAAAGTGCCTGCACACTGCAGAGGGGTGCTGGGGCAGGACGCGGCCAGACCTCCCCGCCTAACAACACACCCAACTCCAGCGCTCACGCCCCCTCCCCCGTTCCTAAGGCCACTCACTGTCGTAGTCCAGCAGCAGCTCTGCAGCCGTGAGCAGCTTGGCCCGATGCTGTGGGTCCATGATATTCAGCTCGTTGAGATGTGTTTCCCGCAGCTCTTTGAAGTCCTCCAGCGTCTGGTAGCCATTGAGCAGCAGGGTGGACGTATGCTCCTGTGGGCAGAAGCAGGCCACCAGCGCGGCCGCTTACAAGCTGCCCCCACCTAGGACCTGTCTCTCCCCGCAGAGCTGGCCTGCCCTGGCCCCCATCCCTTGCTCCTAGACACTAGACTAGGTCCCAGCTCAAACCTCAAGGCCGATGCGCTCCAGCAGCTCATGCAGAGTCTTGGGCTTGGGCCTCTTGCCCTTGCTCTGTCGGCGGCTGGGGCGGGCAGGTCCCACAGCCTCCTCGGGCAGCACATCCACGTAGATGAACTTGAAAGAGCCCAGCCTGCCATTGAGCAGGCCCAGCCACGTGCCCACAGGCGGCTTTTCGATGATCTGGATCACATCTCCTTTCTGTGGGAGAAGAGCAGAGCAGAACAGAGCGGGGGCGAGGTGGCCCCTTGGCCTCCTGGACCCTCTACCTGTATGGGGTACAGCCTGCCAGGCTCAGCAGGGGCCTGGATGCCAACCTTACCTGCAGTTTCAGTGAGTCGTGGTCATACGGGCTGGGAGTGAAGTCGGTGTGGACTCGTGCCCGGCCACAGAAGGGCCCTGTGTACTGGGGGGCAGGTGGTTCCTCCCCGAAGCTGCCAGAGCCTGGGCTGGGGCTGCAGAGCTCACTGCCTGCAGGAAATGGGGCAGGGAGGAAGGTCACCTGTGTCCCCGGACAGCTGCGACAGTGCCCAGCAGGTACCTTCCACGGGGTCTGGCTAGAAATCCCAAGGATACATGCTGGGGAAGAAAACTGAGCTCTAGTAAGTCTCACACTGCAGAAGGGATTCTGACCCAACCCCTCTGCCACCCTGAAGGAGCATAGCTTCCCTCCTGGCGTCCCAGGCATGAAAATAGTTGACCACAGAAGGAGGAATGGCTCACAGATCAAAGACTGGGCAAATTGGGAGGGTCTCTAGAGAACAATTGGGCCAACACCCCAATGAACAGATGAGGAAAACTGAGGCCAGACAGGCCAAGTGACCTGGCCAAGGCCTCTCACCTTATAATTGGCAGCACTGGGTCTGTTAGACTCCAGGCTTCCTGACTCCCACTCCAGTGCTCCTGGAAGCCACCTTCCACCCAGGAAGCCACATCGTGCATCAATATTTTACTTTCTCTACTTAATAAGACTCTGTGTCGAGTTACAACATCACACGGAAACTCAAGACTTTCTCTCTGGGAAGGGCAGGATGAGGGCCTAAGTGGCTTTCAGTGGGGGTAGGGAGGTGTCTTTGGAGCCGGAGAAAGATCAGAGAACTTGGAACTAATCCGAAGGGAGAGAACGACAGTGCCTCTGTAGGTCTGCAGCGCAAAGCCTGCAGCCCCTTGTCCAGGCAGGGCTGCTGGAAGCTCCTGTCCAGCCCCACGGACATCTAGAAGATGCCAAGTGGCACCCTGAGCCCAGCAAACCAAGGGCTGGTGTCCATGAGGCTGAGTCTTCACAACTGGAGACCCTATTCCCCCACCCGAGCCTCGGATGTCAGAGGCCCAGGGAGCCGTAGCCTCTAGCTCCCCTTGGAAGGTGGGCGGAGGGCTGGTCCAAGAGGGCAATGGGGCTCTTCCTGTGCCCTTGGGGCCCTCCAGCAAGTGGAGGCTCCTCTAGGGCAGAACTAAGTTCAAGCCTGGGTCACCTTGGGCAAGTCACTTAACCTCCCTGAGCCTCAGTTTTCACATCAATAAAGTGGGGATAATAATAGTACCGGCCCCATGAGATTGTTGTGAAGATTTAACGTGAAGACGGCTCGGAAAGGTCCCAGCAGGCTGACAGTGAAGGTTCATTTCTCTTTACCACGCCCTCCCAGACCCCGCCCTTTCCTCCAGACTCAGCAGGTGTGCCCCTCCTCCCCTACTCACCTGTGGATGCCTGGCGGCTGAGTGCTGGGAGCTGCCTCTCCTCTGGCTCAGAAAAGGCCAGCGCCATCTTCTCAGGGCCGGGGCTGTCCAGGCTGCAGTCTGGAGACGTCGGGGAGGCTGAGCCCTCCTCCAGAGTATCTCCCTGGAGGGGAGGAGAGGCAGCAAGCCCTGAGCAGCCCCGGGTGCAGAGGAAATGGGCCTGGGCTCCAGGGAGAACTGGGGCCTGGCTGGAGCCCCAGCTCTGCCTCTTGCTGGCTGCATGGCGCCCTCTGGGCCCTAGTTTCCTCTTCCGTGTAGTGGGACTGACAGTCCTTGCCCTGCCCACGTCATGGAATGAGGCTCAACGGGGGTGCCGTGTGAATGCACTTTGTCAGCTCCAAGTGCCAACTTACACACAGAAAAGGCCTCAGTGCCAGAACTGAAACTCAGAGCTGTTGCTAGGGCGTAGCCAGGCAGACCACGGCGCCAGAGAGTCACTACTTTTGACTGTGCTCCTATGTGCCAGACAGAGGATTTCATTTAATCCTCACTTGAGGATATGTGCTCGATCGTCCCAAGTTTACAGATGAGCAGTAATGGAGGAACGCTCCCGAGGCCACGCAAGAGCCCACAGACAAGTCGGTCTGACACTAGGGCTCCTGGGCCTCCCCACACCTCAGTGTGGTGGTAACTTTCACAGATGACTCAATGGCAATAAAAGCCCTGATCAGTAGAAGTTGCCAACTCCTGCATTGTAAATATTCCCCACCGTGGCCAACAGAGAGCTACCACTCTGGTGTCACTGAATGAGTAGCATCATCAGCTATTTCCACCCCCCAAAGACTGTAGATGCCAGTAACCTCAAGGGCACAGAGAACAGTGAAAGGTAGTACAAGAATTAGGAAATGAGTTTTGAAGACTGACTTTAGTCTTTTTATTTTTAAAATATAGATTTAATTCTAAGTTGGTAGAAGTTAATTTTCAGTAGTGGTTGTATCTCACACCTGGCTCACAAAATTCCCGAAAATTTGACCAACTGCTATCCAGAGCTGGCACGAGCCAGTTAGCACACCGCTGCCAGGGCACCTCCTCCAAGAACCAGGAGCAGTGTGACTTTAGCTACTTGGATGTGCCTGCCCCACAGCTGTGTGTTCTGCCCTCCCTCCCTGGGCCAAAGCCAGCCTTCTTGATTTTCTTTCATAGGCCTCTTCGAATCAAGCCTTCCCAATCACAGGGGCTGGTTCCAAGCAAAAGTTTGCGGTGGATGAATTTGCGCTATGTGATCTCATCTCCTCAGACCTGCCTGCCCAGGAAGCTTCTGTTACCCAGAACTTCATCCCTCCTCAGACCCCACTACTGCTCCCTCAGGACCATACCTTCCTGCCATGTCCATAGCTGAGGGAGCTCCCTTCCCAAGGTGACCTTCCTGCTTGTATGGGGCCAGGCATCGTTACCTGAGCGTGGCTGTCACAGTGGCCGTGCTCAAACCCTACCAGAGCGGTGCCTGTCCTCCCTGTCCCCCCTCCCATGGGTCCCAGGCCTCACCATCTCCTCCGACAGGGCCTTCACCATCATCTTGCCCATCTTCCTGTTCATGGTTCGGGAAATCACGGCCCTCCACTTCTTCCCCAGCCTTTTGCTGCTCTTCCCAGCATCCTCTGGGGGCGGAACACCTGAGTCATCTTCTGGAATCTGTGACAATAAATGTGCAGGTCCAGGAACCCTGGTGACCGTGTCTGGGTCCACGACTTGGGAGCAGAAGGCGGCTTTTGGGTCCTGGCAGATGCTGGAGGGGTGGGAAGGAGCGCTCCCCATCCCTTCCCTATCAGCCCCAGACCTGTCCTAGGCCCTATTCATCTGTATTTAAATTGGCCCTATTCATTTGTATTTAAATTGACAATTAATTTGCAATTGAAAAGAATGCAGGTGAGGTTTTAGGGCCCAGAATTTTGGTGGGTGAGAGATGTGGGCCCATTGTATTTAAAAAGACTTTGCCTCAACAATCCTAAAAGAGTCTTCCCCCCACCTCCCCACCATTACCTCACCCAAGGCCGGCAGCCAGATCCCCCAAGGAGGCTCTGAAACTCACATTATCATCCAGATTAAATTCCTTCTCGCTCACCACTGGGGAGCTGGGTTTGGATTTGGCAAAATCTTTGAAGCTGCTGGAGCGCTGAAGCGAGAGCTGGAAGAAGCAGAGGTGTTGCCATCAGTGGCACTAAAAATGGTGGCCGAGTAAGGAGCAAAAAGCTGTCCCCGCTCCCAACACACCGCATGTACCCCAGGGCTGGACAGGGCCACGGGGCTAAGGAGGTGAAGCTACAAGACGTCCTTCTGGCTACCGGGCTTCATCCTGTTCTTTAGCTGTGAGCGGCCCCTAAAGCAGGCCGCAGAGCAAGCTCCTTGCCTCAGGAGCCTCCACCCCGGTCAGGCCTCAGACTAAGCCCAGCTTTCCACCAGTACCTGAAGTCTGGTCCCCAGAACCCTGTGGTGAAAGACTAAATGAGTCTGAGTAAACGCGTATCTCCTACTGGAGACATATCTCAGCACGAACCGCAGCATCACCTTTATTTATATAACAGGGCAAACCCTCCCAAACCCCGCAGCCTGGCCTCCAGACTCTGTCTTCCCCAAGCATGGTTTCCTGCGACGGTGATCGCGGCAAACACATTGGGGCCTCCAGGCTGATGCATCTGTGTCCCAAGAAGAGGAAGACAATCCCCCCAGGGGCCAGTAAGACCTGGCATTATGTGTTCTGGAAAGCCACAGGACAGACTGATTCAGAGAAGGTGCCCGCAGATTTGAGACACAAATGATTGGGTTGAATATAGTAAAAGAAAGCTGCCATTTTGTCTGTCTTCATCTCTGCTTTTAACTTAACTTAGCCGCTAATGCGATGAGCTGGCTACACTAGACATGTGCCAGTGTTCACAGACTTGTAGGCCCGACCTATTGTTTGTGCTGTGAATGAAAAATGCTGCCGGCCAGATCAGCAAACAAAGGCTGCTGCGGCCAGCAAGCCATAGACCACTACCGCTGCCCTGATGGTGAGCCCCGAGGGAACTCAGGATGGAGACAAACGGGCTGCCCTCTGTGAAGCCCCCAGTGGTGCACCCTGAGGAGACACAGGGTGGGAAAGATACTAGCCCTTATCTTTGCATAGCAAAGGAATGATTTCAATAAGCCCCGACTCTTGCATCTTCCCATACACAGAAAAGCCTAAATTCAACTACTTGGGATATCTGGTTTCCTTTAACTAACAGTAATCTTTTGATGTTCCCACTACCTGGTCTTTGCTGCAAAAACCCCTGTATATCCTGGCTTCTCCCTTACCTCTAGGGAGCAGTCCCTCAGAGCTCTCTGAGAGGCTGCCTCCGGGGCTTGAAGTCCTCAGAAAGTCTGCGGAATAAACCATAATTCTCACCTTTTAGGTTATGCATTTTTTTTCAGTCGACAGTGCTGATAAGCCTGTTTTCAGGAAATGAGCTTTCTTAACTGTACGTGCCACGCACATGGCAAAATAGCAGGAGAAACCCGGGCCAGGTGAGGAGGGCCGACTTTAGACACAAGAGGTGGAGGCTGAGCCCGAATCAAGATCAACAGTCAAGACCAGAGATACACACAGGAACCAGAGTTCACAGATGGCCAGACAGATAGAGCGGGTCGGCGGCAGACACCAGAGATAAGGGCTTGAGGAACCGAAGCCCCAAACCCCCTCAAAGCTGAAAGTTTCACATCCTCTTTCCTACAAAAGGGGGTCCAGTGACAATCCCCCAGGGCAGTATCACCTGCCCCCTCAGCATACACACAACTGGCCCCAGCTCCTGGGGACTGCAGTGGAACACTTCAGTTCTCTTGGTGGGTCTTGACCAAAAGCAAGTCAGCAGTCAGGGACAGCGGCCACACCTTCCCAGAGGTCACAGCAAGCTAGCTGACCAGAAACTAGGTCAGTGGTCAGGCCAAGCAGACACCACCACCATGAAGGCCTCCTGGGTGAGGCACCTGCAGCCTCAGGGAGAAAGCCTCTTCCACAGGATGCTGGGGAGCTGGGAAAGGGGGCTGAGGGGTTACAGGGAGGGGAAAGCACGGCGGTGGGGTGACCGCTCCTGTTCCCTGCATCTCCTCCATCCTCCTTCCCTGGTTTTCCCTGCCCGCTATTCTTTCCTCTTTTCCTTCCTTGCTTTCCCCTTCTCTCCTCCACCTTCCATTCACTTCCTCCTCTTGTATGGCTAAGATGCAGCTGCCTGGATAACTTCCTCCTTTTATTGCCTGGAAAAGAGGGAACAGAGAGAGGATGGGCACCAGGCTGGCCTGGGCCCAAGGAGGGCAGGCTGGGGTGCTATTTTTAGGCCGATGGGGCCTATTGTGGCCTCCCCTCCACCCGTCCCAATCCCAGGAGTCGCCCCTGAAGCCCCAGGGACCAGTGATCCTGGAAAGCCAGCAGGAGGGCAGGCGTGGGGCTGGAAGTGGGCTTTGCTGAGGAAGAGTAGACTCACCGCCAGGCTGCCCTCTAATTGCAGTTCTTGCCTTTTTCTGTCATTAAGCTCAGTCGGGGTTGGGGGGTGGCTGGGAAAGTGACTTTTGGCTCCTGAGACCTTGTGTCGGGGCCCCTCTGTCCCAACTTTAGCTCAAAATGGGAGAAAACCACCTAAAAGGGCCATGTGGGTGGCACTGGGATGTGGCCCTGGCAGGCCACTCCTCAGCCCAGGGACAGGGAAAGAACTAGACAAGTTCTTTGGGTGACTAAGGGTGAGGGCCGTTTGCCCTGGGGGGCCTCTTGCCCCGCCCACCTCTGAACTCAGGGGCGGCCTCAAATATCCTGAATGCCTTTCGGTGAACCTGAAGTGACCGCCCCCCACCAGCCAGGTGTGAGTAGACATCCTTGGGCCCTTTTGGATTTTCTGCCTGGCCTCCCTTTAGGGTGAGACCTTCCTGGGGGTCCTGGGTGGGAGACAGCACCGTACACGTCGGCCACTTTTTCATGTCTAAGGGGAGTATATGGGCCTCTTGGAAAGAATTACTTTTTCGGCATCACACATTGCTGAGTTCAACTCTGGGATGTGTGGCCTTCGGTGAGTTATTTGACCTCCCCAAACATCAGTCTCTTTACCTGGTGTCGGCTAGCGAGAGTTCACATCTTGGTTCTGCCATTGACCAGCTGTGTAAAGCTGGGTCAATTCCTCAACTTCTCTGGGCTTCCGTTTCCTCATAGGTGAAATGAAGACCGGAGCACACACCTCACTGGGTTGTTGTGCGGATGACAGGGGTGAGCATGGGACACAGCAGCCCCGCGAGGCACGTTCGGGGAGGCTTACTTAGCCTTTCCAACAGCCCACCTCCAGGCTCTTAGCCCTTGCGTTCCCCACCTGGAACACTCTGCCCTTCTCTGTGTCTACCATAGCTTTCCCCATCCTTCAGAATCCAGTTTAACTGGAAACAACTCAAATGCTCATCAGCTGTAGAGTGGATTTGTGAATTGTGGCCGAGTCCCATGAGGGAAGAGCACATGGCAATGAGCTTCGTGCAACCCTCCCCAACAATACGGTGACTCTCACGGCTACACCGTTGGGCAGAAGGGGCCCACCGCCAGAGTATATTATGTGGTTCCCCGTACAGAAAGTTCAAAACCCGGCAAAACGAATCCATGGAAGTCAGAAGAGTGGTGACCTCTGGGGAAAGGCGTCATGTAGTGAGTGGCAGGGGCATGAGGGAAGCTTCTGGAGTGTTGGAAGTGTTCTGTTTGATCTGCCTACATGGGGATGTTCACTTAATGGAACTCCACTGAGTGCTACATTTATGATTTATGCACTTTTTCTACGGATATTATACTTCAATAAAAGAGGTTTTTCAAATCCGGTTTTAAAGGCACTGCCCCCTGCAGGAAGCCTTCCCTGATCACCCCCTCAGAGCCTCACCCTGCCCCCACTGGCATCTTCTTCCCCTGCTTCCTAAGACCAAGCGCCCTCTGGGCTCTGGGCACAGGCCTGTGTATGTGTGGGAATCCAGTAACGAGGGGTCAAACACCGCCCCTGTGCCCGGTGCCCTGCCAAGCACTTTGTGTGTGTCCGCTCACTTCAGCTTCACTGCAGCCCTGTCTTTACATCGCACTTCTCATCTGGGCACACAGAATCGGAGAAATGAAGCATCCTAGGTGGAGTGGCACAGCTGACAGTGGGAGGAACAGGGCTTTGAACCCATGTCTGTGACTCTGGAAGCCTGTGCTTGTTCCTGTGCTCAGAGCTCAAGTTGCCCCCTAGTATGGAAGTGGATTAAGGGCAATGGCGACTGCAAGTGCTGTTTGGAGGAAGCTACCAGGAGAGCAGGTGGGAGCATGGAGGGAGAAGGGCTCTGGAGGGCTTCGTGGAGAAGGAGGCGCATTTGAGCTGGGCTGTAGCAGGGGAGCCAGGATTTCTCCAGGCGGAGTTGAGAAGGGTTTGTCAAGAGTGAGAGTTAGGGATGTTCCAAGCGTGGCGATGGAATGGTGGGTATGCCAGTGCTTGGGGGTGGGCAGCGGAGCATAAAAGGCCACAGAAGGCCCTTGCCAGCCATGGCATCAGCCTGTGAGCAATGAGGAGCCACTGGAAATATGAATTGCTTGCTGGTGTGGAGAGGGATGCCAGATGTGTGCTGTAGGAAGGGAGCCTGGGGAAAGTAGCATGCTGGGATTGGGGAACAGAGGAGCAGGGAGAGACTGGAAGGACGGACAGCTGCACACTCGAATGGGAGCCTTGATTCCTCTCCATCTCTCCTGGTGAGAGGTCTGGGATGTAGCGAAAAGTAGGGGCGTGATGGGGTAGGACCATCCTTAGGGGAGGTCGGTCCCAGGACAAACCCCTGTCGACTACCTACACTCCAACAGACCAAAGAGAGTGCAGAGAGACACTTGATGGAGGCAAAAGTCTCCAAAAGGCAGCCAAGGGGTATTGCTCCCCCCATCCCGGGTGTCTCCCCAATCCTTCATGATGCATAGCAGGTGACACATCCTGACCCCAACATCCTGGAGGGCCTGTTCCCGACTCTGCTCTGCTGCTTTGAAGGTCACTCATTCCATGGCCATCTGGGCCTGCCCTGCAGAGCTCTCCTGCTGATAGGCTGAGCCTTTTATGCTCATCAGACTCTTCCAGTGCTTTCGAGATCAGTAGGGAGACAAGAGAGTAGAGAGAGAAGGGGTCAAGACCCTGGACACTGACAAATCTTGGCTTAGATCCCTGCTCTGCAGTTTACTAGCTGTGTGACCTCGGGTAAGTCACTTCGCCTCCCTGAGCCTCAGGCATAAGATGAAGACAATGCCTGCCCCTACTTCACAAGGCTGTCGTGAAGAGCCAACGGGCTAAGGGATGGGTGGAGTGCACAGCACGGCACCTGGCACCTGCTGAGCTGTTAGGTGTTGTTTTCTCCACTTCAGGGCTGGGACCGAAGCTCGGTCCTTGCAGTGGGTTCCCCACCCCCACCCACGCCTGTAGCGTACACCCTCTCGTGGACACATGTGACACAGTGCGCTCACACGTATTGTTCCAGGCAATCCACACACCCTCCTGAGGTGGGCAGATCAGGAACTATCCCCCTTTTCCGAGGTGATGAAACTTAGGCCCAAGAAAGGGCAGTGAACTGTCCAGGGTCCTACAGCTGGAACCTGGTAGACTCCAACTCTGCTTTCTTGTCCCCTGCCCAGCACATTCTCCACTTGGTAGGCCCGAAAGCAGGAGAGGGACAGGAAAGGGAGGCCTCTCTTGCCTTCGTGCTTTCCCCTCCGCCACGTCACCTTGGCCTCTGAGGGAAAGGGACTTGCCCAAGTCACAGTGCTGGAGCCACGCCGCCGCCTCCAGGCCTGGGGAAGATGCTGTCTCCACCTTCTGGAAAGCTGGCTTTTCTAAGGGCACTTCCATGGGATGGGCCTTGGAGAGTGGCTCTGGAGGCTGGCCCAGGCTCTGCAGGGGCGAGGTAGGCTTTGCCTGGACGATGCTGCCCTAGAGGACATGGTCCTCAGAGTGCCACAATGGCCTTGACTCTCCCGGGAGAGGCCTGTGCGAAATCCCAGAGGCCCAGTCACCAAATACAGAATCTGGATAATGGAAGTGGGGAAAGAAGACGGGCCTTCTGGCTTCTGTGAGCCTCCGGGCACTTCCACCTGAGGCGGCACAGGGTGCCAGCGTTGCAGTGTTAGCTCTTTCTCAGACTCTTCCCTCCAGCTCAGCTCCCCTGTGGTTTGGGGCCCAGCAGTGTGTAGGGCGGTCTCTGCTTTCCACCCCCATCAGCCGGACAGCAAGGGGAAGTGGACCCACTCGCTGAGGAGTGACAGCCAGTGGTAAGTCTGCCGGGGGCCGGCGCCGTGTGGGGCTTGGACGGGGATGACAGAGCCTGTGTGAAGAATCATGAATCTCTTTCCCAGCCGCCCACCTCCACTGCAACCTTAGAGAAGCAGTTGGAGTGGGGAGAGTACAGCTGGAAGTGGCAGCCACCCCGGGACCTGAGATGGGGCAGGATGTACACCCCAGTGCCCTGATGCTCGGCTTCTCAGCTAGTTCAGTCTCCGTCTGGAAGCTACTCCTCTGACAAAGGGGCTCCCCCACGGAGCACCTGAGCTGGGCTCCAGGGGAAACCAGTGGGGCGCAGTGAGGGCCTGGAGGCCCTGGACCTTGGCCTGTGGCTACGCCTGGCCTCTTGGACCTGGTTCAGGCCTGCTTTGGGATGGTCCTAGGCTCCTGCTGGATGTGCGGGAGGTACTTGCTGATTGCCTGGGAGGATCTGACGATCGAGTCAAAAAATTAAGTCTAGAAATCCTCAGATGCAACTAGAGAAACCTAAATGTGGCAGAGCCTTCAAGGACTCTTCTAGCCTGGCCTCAAGACTCCAGGAAGATGAGCACCTCAGTTGCCTGTGGCAGCTGCTTTTCTTCCTGGCCTTTAAAATGCCCCCCGACAGAATTTTTTCCTCCTCAGCCCTCCCTCCTACTCATCATCTCAGCACCTTCATTTCTCATTCTTCACAAATAATTTCTCTCCACCTGGGAAGAACCTGTATGCCCCCAGCATCCCACTGCAGGTTTGGAGGCCCTTTCCTTAAATCTGGAAATCACGCTGGGCCCCATCTTCAGGTGGGCCCCCTCTCCTTTGGGCCCCGGGATCTACAACAGAGCTGAACCAAGTGAGCAGAGCCTGGGCTCTGGCCAAAGGGCGGGGGCCCTGGGAGCATCATGGCTCCTGGCTGGGCGGCCCAGCGGAGCCCTTTGAGTGAGATGGCTCCCAGTGGCGGGACCGGTGTAGGGAACAGAGAATTAAGTACGGTCTTAGGGTTCAACTTGAGAATTGTATTTTATAATTCTCGAATTCTAGTCTAGGATTCTAGTCCCCAGTGTTAAGTCTCTATCTTATCATCGTAGGGTTGAATCCTACAACTTTTAGACTTCTAAGAATGCATTCTGTAACTCCGTTTCGCTAGAATTTGGGAAGTCTCTTCTGTACTTGTTACTCTAGTTACCTTTGGGCCCATGTCCCATGCCCTTGGGAGAATGGCCCTCACCTACAGACTCAACAGAAGGCCTTTGGCTCTTCCCACTTCCGTGAGTCCCGGAGAGGCTGGGTTGAGAGAGGGAAGGAAGCAGTGAGTTCCCAAAGATGCTCCTCACCTTTTTCTTCTGAGTGGGCTCCTTCTCGCTGGCATTGGAGGGCTTACGGCGCAGCATGGTCCTCTACCCTGGTGATACTCCGTCCCTGCGCTCCTAGGTATCGAGATGCGGAGGCCTCTTGCTCAGCCTCGCCAGCACCGTCCAGGGGGCACGGCATGGACTGAGCCTCTGGCTGCCACTCTGACTGCTGCACTGGCAGCTTGGGGGTGCGGGCCATGGACACCCGGCGGCAGCAGCATACAGGAAGCCCCGTCACGTGATCTGCTCTTACAGCAATCGCAGCCCCTGCTGGCCCCTAGGGAGGAAGGAAGTCCCAGCTTCAGTCTCCAGAGATTCTGATGCAGACGGCTCTTGGGTTGAACAAGCAAAGAAAAGTCCCTACCCTGCCATCTCATGGCAACCATTGCCAGTCCTTCGGCCAGTCAACCTGACATTATACGGCCTACTCAAGCCCTTTATCTCACTGACCAGAGTCCCAAAACTGGAAGTGGGACCATCTCTCTGCCTGTGGGGCCAATGCTCCCAGTCACCTTGCATCGCCAAGGTCATCACTGCTATCAGTCCCTCTCCTATCACCCCATAGCCATCACTCCTATCTACAGCCATCAGCCCTGAAGCCATCTCGACTGCTACTGGCACACCTACAGCCACCACTGCTAGAAAAACCATCCCTACAGCCATCACCCCTATAGTTGTCATCACTGCTGCTATCACTGTCACAACCATCATCCTCTCAGCTGTTATCCTTACGGACATTACAGCCAGTCACTCCCATGACACTCTTGCCCCACGACCATCATCCCTACAGCCATTACCCCTACAACCATCACCACACCCCTGCAGCCAACACCTTTCAGCTATCATCCCTGCAGTCATTCCCACTGCCATTAGCACCACTACAGCCATCACTGCTAAAACAACCACCCCTGTAGTCAACACCCCTCGGTCATCTGTCTCTATCTGCCTCACCACTGTCACTATCACCGGTACGGTGATCATCCTCATAGCTATCACCCTTACAGACACTATCACTATAGCCAGTCATGACCACTGATGCCCTCACCCCTACAACCATAACTCCTAGAGCCAACTCCCCTCTGCCATCACCCTGCAGCAGTCATCTCCACTGTCACCAGCACACCTACAGCCATTCTCACCAGAGCAGTCACACCTAGAGTCAACATCCCTTGGCCATCACCACTTATATTTATCACCACCACAGCCATCAACATGAATAAAAAAGCAATTGCAAGCAACTCCACACCACCAGCAAATGTCCCTTTCAGCAGGCATTTCTCGAATGTCTACGTGCTGAGTTTAGAATGTTCGCTTTGTGGGTTATCTGTGGCAGATATTTTAATAACCTTAATTACTTTTTCTTATTACAAAAGCAATTCATATGCATCATATACAGTTTAGAAAACAAGGATAAACAGAAAGAAAATTCAAAAATTTTCCGAAATTATCTTCCATACTATTTGCATGAATATTTTTCTGTTTTTGAGCATTTAACGTCTCTCTCTCTCTCCCTGTGTGTGTGTGTGTCTCTCTCCCTCTCCCTGTGTGTGTGTGTCTCTCTCTCTCTTTCTCTCTCTGTCTCTCTCTCTGCAGCATGATTTGCACAGAAAGCAGATCAGTGGTTTGGGGGGATGGGGAGGGGAGGGAGAGATCAGGAGGGGCACAAGGACCCTTTTGGGGGTGATGGATAGTTCACAATCTTGGTTGTGGTGATGGTTTCATCGGTGTACACCTATGTAAAAACTCAACAAATCGCATACTTTAAAAATGTGCTGCTTATTGTAGTTAAATTATACCTAAATAAAGCTGTTTTTAAATTTTTAAAAATTAAAGTCCCACTTCACACACTGCATCTGCTTGTCAAACTGAGCACAGGCTCAAGATTTTCTCCTGCCATGAAATATTCTTCTGCGACGTGATTTGTAATGGCCGCCGAGCAGCCCATTGTACGAATGCATCACGATGATTTCACCAGGCCCCTACAGATGAACTTACGTTGCCTTGATATTTTTACTCTTAATTGTACATCCTTAAAGTAAATATTCGTGTATAGCCACGAATTTTTTCTTAGGATAGATTTCCAGAAGGGGAATCCTTGGGTTAAAAGAAAGGTGTGCATCTTTTTAAGGCTTTCCAATCTGGGACGCCTGTGAAATCTGAGGCTGTTCCCAAGATGTTCTGGCGACTTCCTCGCCCCTACTCTCCAGCCTGCTCTGCGCCCTCCCAGCATCCATCCGTGGGGACGAGCTCAGGAAAGACGAGGTCCTTCTCCCCCAAGCTGAAACCACACTTCTTTGGCTGCGTCCTACTCAGCCTGCCGGGTAGACTCGCGAAAAGACCACGCTCTCCCGTCCCCTCCCCCCACGCCGGCCTGCGCTTTCCAGACTGAAAGTCCCTCCCCTGCCGCCCCAGGCGCGGGCGCGGGAACGGCTGAGGCTGCGCGGCGCGGTGTCGGGGGCCCGGCGGGCCTTGGGTGGCGGGCGCGATCGGGGGCGCCGGGTGGGGGACGCGGCTGCAGGGCTCGGGGCTCCTGGGGGTCCGGCGGCCGGAGCGGCCGGCGAGGGAGCCTTCAGGCAGAACCTTCCCGGCCTGCGCCGCGACGGCGCGTCCCGACCCCGCGCAGGATGTGCCGGCTTCCTGTTTGCTCAGTCCCGGCAGCGAGCCGAGCTCACACACTAACCGCAGAGCCTTCAAAGGCAGCCAGCCACCTAACCTCAGCGCTGGGCGGCCCCGACCGCCTCGCCGAGGCCTGGGAAAGGGCGGCGGGGTGGGGGCGGGGTGAGGGGCACCTCGAGAGAAGTACAGAGAGGCGACCAGCCCCTGGGACAGAAGGGAGCGGGTGTTTTCAGCCTTTCCCTTCTGGCTTGTTTTCAGATCTGTCGCTTCTGGTAAGAAGTCTCCACTCCGGGGGTCCTGGGCTCCCTCATCCGGACTTGCCTTCCCGGAATTTTCTCTCCCAGCAGATTGCCTTGGCCCCAGTTCCGTTAGGTCAGGCCCCAGCTGGCTAATGGGCCCTAAACACTTTTTTAATAGGTTTCCCTTCCAGGCAACACATTTGCATTTTATAGGTTCCGATCCAGGTGCATAAAGCCCTCAACTAAAGAAGCGATCCGGGTCAGTAGTTCAGTGAACAAGGCCACCTCAAACTTGATAATGGGCTGGCAAACAGGACCTAGGAGCTAGCTCTGGGTCCTTGTGCCAGGCACTCGGAGGAGATGCAAGATAAATAGCTGTCAAGGTCCCTTGCACCCGGGAGCTTACATCCTAGGTGGGGCGGCAAAGCTTACATTGCCCAGCACTTGTTCTTTGACAAGCACTGCATCAGGCACTTCAAAAACGTTATTTAATCCTGGCACAGGCTCCCCACCCCACCCGGGTAAGTAGTTTAAATTGGGATGATTATGGCAAAGATGTGTCCAGTATAAACGTGGGGCAGGAGAGCCTTGATTTAACGGCAATATTTGTGTGTGTGTGTGTGTGTGTGTGTGTGTGTGTGTGTGTGTGTGTGTGTGTGTGTGTGTGTGTGTGTGTGTGTGTGTGTGTGTGCGTGCGCGTGGTGGGGTAGGGAGGTGTTCCACCAATAGTGAGACTCATCTGAACCTTCAGAGGGTGGATACCGGGCTTCCAGAGATACAAAGGTCATTGTAGGCATTCACATAGAGCAGCCCCCCACCTGCACCTCCCTGCAAGAGATTCTAATTTGGTAGACGATCATGAGTGGAATATTTGGGCAGATGGGACCCAGACATGTATGAAAGCATCCCTCACTCTGCGGATGGGTACAATCCTGCGTTGAGAGAGTAAGAGTTCGGATAAGCGATATCTACATTTGGAAAACTTCCTGAATAATCCTTATTCTCACCTCCCCCTGCCACCCACACATATCCAGTCGAAAGTAAGAACACTAAGTGGCAGGCGGTGGGCTTTACAACAACCCTATGAAGCAGGCACTGCTGTCATCCTCATTTTCCAGGGAGGAAGCCGAGAATCAGAGGGGTTCAGCAAACTGTGTAAGACCACACAGCTAGGAAGTGACGGGAGCTGAGTTTTGAGCACAGGCTTGGTCTGGGTTCAGGGCCCGTGCTGTTAACCACTAGGCTCAAGTGCCTCTGATGCAGAGTTCCTGAACAAGGACGTGAGAGAATCGACACCCTTTGCTGATTGGGGGTGCCACAGGGCCACCTTGCAGCAGAGGGGAGTAAAGAGGATGGAGAGAGCATCTGGAAGCGGCATCATGTACACAACAGATGGAGAGTTAGGGTTGATCAAGTGGGGGCGATCTGTAGGGGAGCCCTTGTCAGCCTGGGGAGTACTCAACATCTGTACTATCTGGCTTAGAGGGTTGGCGTTGGGAAGCAAGTTGACTTCAAACAGCTGTCGTGTAGAGGAGGGGGATGTATTCTGGGTGGCCAGGAATGACGGGGAAGAGGTAAATGGAAGGTTTGGGTTCATTTCAAGGAAGACATTTCTGATATTCAGATGGTACTAGCTCAGCCCTGGTAAGTAGTGATCTCCCCGTCTCTAGAAATGTTCAAACAGAGACCACATAGTCCCTTGGAAATACCTGGGCATTTCCAAGGTGAAGTCCATCGTGGTAGCCTGAGCCCTTATCAGACTTCATGGTGGTCATTTTAGGCAGGGAGGGCAAGGAGAGCAGAAGTGCAGGTGGGAGGAGGGCAGAGAAGAGCAAGGGGCCTGGGCAGGAGGCAGCCATTCCCACGCACACAGACAGTACACAGGAGCTTGCAGCTCTGGGAACGCTAGGGAGTCCCCGGCAGCAGGGGCTCATGGGAGGGAAAGGCAGTCATCTCTGAATCTCTGAATTCATGATAAGGTCTTGGTTTAAAAACAAATAAAAACAAACACCTGCAGGCAGCTGTGGCAATTAGCATCAGAAGAGGAGGCTGGGCTTTGGTGCTTGATTAAAAACACGCTCAGGACTCACCCGAGGGCCTTTTTAAGGGAGACTGGGAGGGACTGGAGACAGCTGTCTAGGGGCCTAGGAGAGGAGGAGCAGGATAACATCTCCAAGAAATGGAGTCAGGTAGAACTGGATTCAAATTCATCGCCATACATCACCTACTGACTGCATGACCTTGGGCAAGTGACTTTGGGCAATGAGCTCTAGATAATGACAATGATAATGTGGGCCTTGCTTGGGGGGAGGGGGAGGAGTGGTGTGTGTGTGTG